AAAGAACTCATGAATTCGCCCATGGTGTTGAGATCTCCTCTTCTTGCCGCCACCTTCTTCTTGAAGTTTCTTGAGTTCTTGATCACTTTCCCCCAAGTTTCTTGAATTGTTTTCTCTTTTCTTCCTGGATCCTCAGTTCAGTTCGTGATACCTTAGGGTTGGTACGCCCAGCTCTGATATATCTTACAATTACTTGGAGTTATCTCAAGAATGGATAATCCAGCCTTGATCCAAACTCCTCCTATCATATCCTATCTTATCTCCTATCTCATGATCTAAATCTTTCCTAATCTTTCTGGAATTACATTTAAAATTTAAATCTAAGAGAACTCTTGAAATTCTTGAATTCGAATGAGCTGTTTTAATAACTTGGGCTGCTTCAAGGTTTTTCTGCGAAATGGGTTTCAGCTGGGAACTGGGCCTCACTACAAAATTGCTCTATATTTGGGCCCGGATTTAACTTTGATATAGGCCGAATCTGCGAAATCCCAAAACATGAAACTTGTAGATTTCTCTCTTTTGTTTCCAATGAATCTTGAATCAGCCCAATCGGAGCCCGGATATGAAAGTTAGGCCCAAATTACTGATCATTGCCGAAACTGTGCAAACCCATCCGATTAGCCTTGTTTTTCTTCTTGCGACTTCTTTCCTTGCCCTGCACCGAATTACAAGAAATACGAGTCTAATTAAGTACTAATTCAATATAAAAGACATAATATTAGGGGATAAAAATATGATAAATTTTATTCTCATCAGTAGTGTTCACTCTATTAAAAAAAGAGAATAACCATTGTGTTTGTCTTGAGGATTGCTAGATCCCCAATACATATTTTTCATTTCCTTCTCTTTTTTTCTTTTAATTAAAATTTGGTTGAAAGAATATTAGTGTAAAAATGTTATTTTCTACCTCAATTTAACAAAACAACCATTACATAATACAATTAATTGCAAATGAGGAAAAAGGAGGAAACAACCTATTCTGAGCAAAGTTTGGCTATTTATAAAAAGGGTTTGACTATGATACTGAAAAAACTTATAGCCAATCAATGGTATCATAAAAGAAGTGACAATAAGGTGGTATTAATGACATTTCATAGGTTGGAAATAACAAGGGTAAATTACAAAGACCCCCTTGTAGTAGAGGGTTAGTTACAATAACCCCCTAAACCTTGATTGTGGCAAAGAACCCCTAAACCTTCACTTTGTAATAAATAGCCCTGACCATCAAGTTAGATGATGAAATGTGTTAAATTACCAAAATACTAACATGAGCTTTCCTTATTTTCTTTTTCTCATCCTTTCTCTTAAACCCTAATTAACCCAAAAATACCTCTATTTTCTCCAAATGAAACCGGCTAAAATAACAAAAATCATTTCACTGAGATAGAAAAACAAGCTTTTTTTTTGTTTCATTTCACTAACAAGAATGTCTCTCTTCATCTTAAAATATAAAAATTATCCACTATTAATTGTCTCCAAGAAACCAAGAAAAACAAAACAAAACCTTAAATTTTGAAAGAAACCTCTACCATTTAATCTGGATATTGAATCTAGCCAGAAATCTACAAGGATCTATTAGAACAACCGAGAGGACTTCAATATTATATTTAAAAAATTAATCGAATCATAAATCATTCAAATAAAAAAAGAGGGTAGCTTGGAGATTTAAAAAGTTAAATTGAATGAGAATATTTTTCGAAGTTAACCGACAAAATTCTAAAAGAGGGAGTATTTGTTGCAAAATAAAAGTTCAAGGATGCATTTTGCAAATGAAAGAAAGTTCACGGGGTTAATTGTCATTGACCCACATTAATAAATTAGTTATTTTTACATCTATGCTTAACGTGTTATGCACATGAACGTTAAAAACAGTGGACTGTTATTTATTAGGGAAAATCTATGACACCCTGTTATGCACATGAACGTTAAAGACAGTGGACTGTTATTTATTAAGGGAAAATCTATGACACTCTAACGACATGTTACCCGAAAAGCTTTAACCAATCAATTCACCCATAAATTGTCATCAATACCACCCGATTGGTCACTCTTTATTCCTTTAATTAATTAATCATATAATTAATGATCAATTTATTGGATTCAATATTCATTTAATTAAAAAACAAAAATGTAATATGTGATGTTCACACTTGAAAGCGAATTAAGATTTGCTGAATGCTGAACTGTGCAGCGGACTGTGGAAACAACGATATGCCCTATTCTAGGTAAAGAATTTTGATCAATCAAAACCACCTGTAAATCTTGATAAATTCCACTTGATTGGTTAACAAATTTAAAGATACCCGTTAATCCTTTTTTTTTTTTTGTTTCTATAAAGAGCAAAAGTTTTTGCCCGAACCAGAAAAGATGCCACCCGAACCCAGATCGGCCAGAAATGATCACTCCTCTACGTCATCCATTAACTGTAGTCAAAACCTTAACGACGAAGATTTTAAGTTTGAACTATGTGCATCCATAAAACATGAGAGAGAGAAGATGCAGAGGATGGAACAAGGGATGAGTAAGACTGTGGATTTGTCCGCCTTGCCGGAGAGCTGCATCTCCAACATCCTTTCCTTCACATCTCCCAGGGATGCTTGCCGATCGGCGGCGGTCTCGTCGGTCTTCCGATCGGCGGCGGAGTCTAACACCGTGTGGGATAGGTTTCTTCCATCGGATTATCAAGAGATCCTCTCCAGAGCAATCTCTCCTCCGCCTGCGAGTATTTTGTCATCTAAGAAAGCTTTCTACTTCCATCTCTGCGATCATCCCCTTCTCATTGACGACGGAAAGAAGGTCAAAATCATTTTCTTCTCCTTTTCAGTTATGTTGTCGAATTTGGTAAAGAAGAGTAACTTTATCATTTCATTCCCTTCTTCCATGCGGCAATTAACTGATTAAGTTGGATTCTGAATTTGATTGAAGCAGAGCTTTCGACTTGACAGATGCAGTGGGAAGAAATGTTTTATGCTAGGAGCTAGAGAGCTTTCTATTATATGGGGTGATACTCCCGAGTACTGGAGCTGGGATTCCTACCCTGAGTCCAGGTCTCGTCTCTCTCTCTGTCTCTCTCTCTGCAAATTCGGTAAATATTGTGTAATATGAAGTTAAAATGAACAGGTTCCAAGAGGTGGCTGAGCTCTTAAATGTGTGCTGGCTCGAAATCCGTGGCAAGGTGGAGACGAGAGTTCTGTCCCCAAGAACAACTTATGCAGCTTACCTTGTGTTCAAGTTGGCGGAGGAGCGACAAGGGCTTGGCCTTGTTCCGGCGGAGGTGTTCGTGAGCTTTATCGGTGATGGGGTTGGAGAAGTAGAGAACCACAATGTGTATCTGGATGAGTACTGGCCATCGTACGACCCTTGGTACCCCTTTCTGTCACCCACGGTGCTACCACCGCCGGCATCGCTGCGACAGCCAGAAGGCCAGTCCCCGCGAGAGCGAGAAGATGGGTGGATGGAGATAGAGATGGGTGAGTTCTTTAACGATCAGGGAGATGATGGGGAGGTGCAGATGTGTCTCATGGAGGTGAAAGGTGGTCACTGGAAATCTGGGCTCATCGTTGAAGGAATTGAGCTCAGGCCTAAACAGAGTAACTGAGCATAACTTCTTCCTCTCTGCTATTTTCTTCTTAAATGCATGGATCAATATAAACATCTGTACGTAGCTTATTTGTACCGGCTATTCCTTCCTGATACATTTATGTCCTTCGGCTTAGAAGGTTCAGACCTGGAAAATGTAGTTGTTGAGTGATGGAAATGATTTCAATAAGAAAATAAATTACATAAGCAATGTACAATGTCATTTTTCCTATTGTTGTTATCGTTTTCCATTGTTTTATGAATTTGAATTAGCATGTGTAGCAGTATGGGAACCAATGATAACTAGGACTGCGAATAGACTCCAAAAGTCTAATACCTGATTTGACTCCTAATCTTACTATCTCATTTTTGGATCTTAGAACTTGCCTTAATTGTTATATATAGATATCATATATATATTTATTATACATCTATGAGTGAAAAATAATTACTTTTTAATTATTATTTCAAATACAATAAGATGAAGGTGGCATTTGATAGCGCTTAAGCGGTCTGAAATCTGAAAATATTATTTTTCAGACTCCAAAAAGTGTTTGGGTATGAGTTTGAATGTTGATCTAAAATGTAATTTCAGATTGGTCATCACTGAATGTGTTTAAACGCATTTCAGATGTGTTTAGAAGTCTAAAATGCCTCTTCCAATAGACAATGTATGTCCTTTTTTAAACCCAAATTTCTTCTCATTCAAGATCTCAAAGGGAGACAGCGATGGAGAATTCGAAGAAATCCTATAGTCGTCAGCGATGGAGAACTTATTTCCGTTCTTAGTTGTTTGATCTCTCTCTCTCTCTCCCTTGTCTTCCTACCTGTACCACCATCGTTGCAACTCTCAGCAGCGGCGGTGCAACAGCCCTATCTCAGTAGTGACGTTTGATTTCCCTAAGGAGTAAAGATTAAATGGAAAAAAATTAAAGAGTGGAAACTTCTAACAATACATAAATTGTTAAATGTTCAACTTTTTTATTTTATATTTTACAGAAGAGGAAATTAAGGGTGCAGTAAAGAAGCTGGAAAGTGATAAGTCACCGGGTCCAGATGGGTTTTCTAATCTATTTTATTTAAAATGTTGGGATATTGTGAAGAGTGATATGATACAGGTGTTCCAAGCATTTCATACTAATGCCTCATTTCAAAGAAGCCTGAATGCAACTTTCATCACTCTTATTCCAAAAATTGAGGGGGCTGTCAGTATAAAGGACTTTAGGCCCATTAGTCTCTTGCACAGTTTTTACAAAATCTTGGCTAAAGTTTTGGTAGAAATAATGAAGTGTGTATTAGGTAGTGTTATTTCTTGCAATCAAAGTGCTTTTGTCCCGGGTAGACAAATGCCTGACTCAATTCTCATTGCTAATGAATTGTTGGAATCCAGAAGAAGAGAGGGGACCCCAGGTGTTATGTGTAAACTTGATATTGGAAAAGCTTATGATCATGTTAACTGGCACTGTTTGGCCTTGGTGTTGGAGATAATGAATTTTGGGCAGCTTTGGAGAAATTGGATCAGAGTTTGTATTAAGACCCCTAAGTTCTCCATCTTAGTTAATGGGCAATCAACGGGGTTTTTTGGAAGTACTAGAGGTTTGAGGCAAGGTGTCCCTCTCTCTCCCCTACTTTTCATTTGTGTCATGGAAATTCTAACTCTTTTTAGCAAGAAAGCTACTGAGAATGAGCTTTGGGATGGCTTTGCAATTGCACTGGGCAAGGAAAAAGTTAATATTCTTGAATTTACTAACGACACTTTATGTTTTCTTGATGCTTCACCAGGTCAGTTGGAGGTGGTGCTTGGAATTTTGAGTTGGTTTGAGGTGGTGTCTGGCCTCAAGGTAAATTTGAGTAAATCTCATATCATCCATGTAGGTCATGTTACAAACCTAGAGGATTGTACAAAAGTTATGGCTTGTCAAACTGCCCATATTCCAGTCAAATACTTGGGGCTTCCTCTTGGAGCTAAATGTACTTCCTCTGAGATTTGGATTCCAGTGGTTGAAGAAATGAAGAAGAAATTGGCATCTTGAAAAGCTAAATATCTTTCTTTCGGGGGGAGAGTTACATTGATTAAGAGCACTCTTTCTAATCTTCCTACGTATTTCCTCTCTCTCTTCCCTATTTCTTCCAAAGTAGCAAATAGATTGGAGCAAATATAGAAAAACTTTCTTTGGAGAGGTTGGGAGGAGGAAAAGGTTCATGTTGTAAATTAGGACCAAGTGTGTCTTCCTAAGGAAGTTGGTGGTTTGGGAATAAGAAAATTGAAGAAGTTCAACTCTGTCCTCTTGTGTAAATGGCTTTGGAGATTTGCAAATGAAAGAAATGCATGGTGGAGAAAGCTGATTGGGGACAAATATGGAGTGGATTGGGGTGATTGGAGATCCAAATCTCCTATTTCAAGAGGGATAAGTTCCATTTGGACAAGTATTTTGAAGAACTCTATTTGATTTGAGGAAGGAATCGGATATAAATTGGGAAATGGGGAAAGAATTAAATTTTGGAAAGGTTCTCGGTGTTCTGAAGTGTGTTTGAAGATGCCTTTCCTCTCTTGTATCAAATTTCTATAAATCAAGATCCCTCGGTAGCTAAGAATTTCAAAGCTTCTGGTAGCTCTTTCAGTTGGAATCTAATTTGTCTGAGGTGCCTCTTTGATTGGGAAGTTGAAGAGTATGCAAATCTGTTGGAACTGCTTCATAACTAGAGGATTGACTCAAGTCTATGTTCAGTAAGTTGATAAGTTTAGGTCAGGGGAACTTTTCGGCTAGGCAGGTTTGGAACTCAATTAGTCCTTCTAAAGTGATGTTTCTGCTTTGTCCTCACAACACTTGTAGTCATGCATCGGCAACATCCCCCATGAATGAAATACAAGTATGGAGATGTTCCAAATGCACTGTTGCAAGTGTTGTGAGGACAAAATCCGGTCTCAATGATACACCCTTGTTGGTGATTATAAAAGAGTCTTAGGCTAGGCCCCATAACTTACCCCATGTTGAATGATCTAGGGAACCCATGCACTTGGACAAATAATCTATGCCAAAATTCATCAACTTCTGTAGAATATTTTAAGCTTCCATTAACTGACAAAGAAGAAATGATTATAATCCATCCTTTTGAATAAGGGTGATATTTAGTACTAATACCATGGATGTTTCTACTTGAAACACTGTCACATCAATGCCACCTAGGAATTTTGAATTTAAACGTCACTTTTCTGGTTTTTTTTGAAAGATAAAAACTATTAAATTAACAAAAAGAATAGACTACATAGTCTTTTACATCGAGAACATCAGGAGGATAAGTATCTAACAAAAAGTAATCCTGAAGGGTAGTTTTACTCCTGCATGCTACAAGAAACTAACTGAAAGGATTGAAATAAGTTCTGAGTTTTTTGAAGTAGAGCCTACAAAGACCAATGGAGGGAAGGCTTTCCATTCAAGGCTTGAATAGTCACCTGAGAGTCCGGACAAACCAAAATGTTCCTTCTCTTTGTTGAAGAGCTTGTAGGATACCTTGATGAATAGCAAAAATTCTACTACTTCAATTGAATTCAAATTCTTTCGATCTCCTAAGATTTGAATACATTCCAAGTGATTATTGAGGAGGATCGTTCCAAAGCAAAATGCATTAGGGGATATCTTACATGCATCAGTAAATAGAAAACCATCCATATATGATTGCACAACAAAGTTTAAAATTGGAGGTAGAGGCAAAGAGGTTTCTTGTGAAAATGTTGATATTTGAAGACCATAGTATTAATTTTCCTAAGGATCCATAGATTGGAAACAGTAATATCTTTAAAAGATTTTTCATTATGAGCAAACCAAATATAATATAAAGAGATAGCATACCAACTTAGAACTCTTAAAAGAGTGATTTTATTTTAGAGAAAAGATAACGAATTTTGAGAATACAGTGTATCCAATTAGCATAAGAAGAAATATTGAAATTAATATTCCAAGGAGAAGCAAAAAGGATGGATTGGGTAAAAGGACATTCAAGAAAAAGATGATGAAGAGTTTCCAAATGATTTTGACAAAGAACAAAATTTTGGTCTTGATTGGTAGTAAAAATTTTTGTTTTAACAAGAATAAAGCCTTGGATAATTCTCCAAATGAATAATTGATAATGAGGGGGACAAGGGTGTTTCCAAATCCATTTGATACAAGATTTTTGATGGTCAGAAATTCTTGGGAGTGAATCAGGTAACAAATCATTATAGGCAATTAAAGTTAAGAATTTACCTGATGAATGTTTGAACCAAATCCATGAATTAGAGATATTGGCTGGGTAAATAGGGGTTTGTAAAATGCCATATATTTGTTCAGTGTCAAAATATTGATGAAGATTAAGAGTATTCCAACTACCATTAGTAATATTATCATTAAAGGTAAGGTTAGACTCAAGAAGATAAATAGGGCAAGGTATCATACTAAAATTTCCAGTGTTTTGGATCCAGGGTAGATGAGCAAAATGATCCGAAGAAGATTACCGAACTAAAAATCCTACTTCCTAAAGTATATTTTGTAGTTTAGGGGTCAAAGATTTCCACAAAAAATGAACTATTGGAAGGGATGGAATAAGGGAAAAGGGAATGAATTGGAAGATATTTAGATTTCCAGATTTGGGCCCACAATTTATGCTGTTCATTCAGATATAGTTCCACGAAAACCAATGATAAGGATGGGGATTGGATTTTGACTTGGCCCACCAAATATCATTAATAATTTGCTTAATAGCTGTTATAGTTTTTTGGGGTAATTGTGCAATAGTCATAACATGATTTGGAATGGTTTGGAGAGCATACTGAATGAGAATTTTTTTACCAACTTGACTAAGAGTTGTAGCTTTCCATTTATTTAGTTTAGTTTTGAGATTATCATCCAAAATAAAGGATAATTGGGAGTGTTTGTTTCGACCCCAAATTAAGGGAAGGCCTAGGTATTTGGAATTCTTAGGAAGGGTTTTTATTTGAAGTTGTCTACAAATCATTCGTTGGTGCCTAGGATGAATGTTCTTGTTAAAGTAAATACCTGATTTCTCTAAATTAATTAACTGGCCCGAGGAAACTTGAAATTGATGGAGAATATTTTTAAGGTTGTCTAACTCATCACGGTGATCCTGAAGGAATAAAAGGATGTCATCTACAAAGAAAATATAGGAGATGGAGGGGGCTCTAATAGATATTTGTAAACCTTTAAGTTGATTGTTATGTTCAGCTTT